GGTGACAAAGTAGACGGTATGTTCACTCAGGAACATGGACTTTTGAGTAGACGTCCAGTTCATTTTTATGGAAACGACGGTGTCTGCTTATTCAAGTACTTTGTTCGGAGTGACGATGCAAGAAGAATCAGACAATCGATTGAAAGTAGAGCGGACATAACTGATCATAAAGGAGATCCAGTAGTTTGGCTAATGCTTGGTGTGAACTTAGTCTGCTTCATCATCATCACTTTTTACTACATAGTTATCAATATTCAAACCAGGATTTCTTCACGGAGATCAGGACAGCACCATAACCCAAAAAGAGTGAGGGACAATAGATCTGTACAAAATAAAATTGCTCTTATTGTTGCCACTGATTTCTTATGTTGGGTACCATTTATTGTTATCAGCGGTATGCATAACCTCGGAGTTTTTGATGCGACTAAATGGTATGCTACGTATGCGATGATAGTTCTTCCACTTAACTCTGTTATCAACCCGCTGATATACGAAAAAACGTTAACAGAGTTCCTAGGAAGAAAATGGGGGGGGTGTAACCCAAAAAAACCCAAAAAAACCCAATCCCAGTATGACCTTTTTCAGGGTAGGAGTTGGGTTTTTTTGGGTTTTTTACAAATTTTTCATTTGAAGGAAATAAAATCATGTAGGCACCTAGCAAAACAATTATCAGTACAACATCACTGTTGTTGTTCATCACTACAACATCACAATAGATATAATCGCTTAAATATCACCCAAAAGCAGTATTTTATTCACTGATGTGCTCAGAAGAAGTTGGCCATCCAGATATGATATCAGCCATATGTAATGCTCACTTCGATGGCCATGGCAAATTGAGTTAGTAGGGACGCAACTCACTGATGACCCCAACCCTGACCGCAACCGGTACGAGAGGAATAAAGCCTTTCTTCTCACCTTCACGATCTCTGTTTCCGTTTTCCTGATCATCCGCTTAACGAGAAACCATGCTCTATCTCCAACTGAAAGAATCTTGCAGTTACCATCAGCTGCGTGATCACATGTGATATTAAGTGATATCTTCGCTTGTTTATGGCCCTGGAGTCGCTAAAATCTTGACTGGGATGGCATTCGATCTCGCCCTCCATTGAGGCAAACCTCAACAGCCGTATCATGATGCAGAGCATCACCATACACAGTTACTAGTTTCGCCCATTCCTCTGATGAGTCAATATCCTCCACTTCCTCTTCTTCATCATCTGTTTCCGCTTCGTCACTCTCTGCTCCGTCAGAAGATGGTTGGAAAGCCTCTCCTTCAAAGTTACAGTGTTCTTATCGCATCATCAAAATTTTTACAAGTAGGCAGGTGGTCTTTCAATGGTTGTGTGAAGCTTAGGTGGCCCAAGGCGTCACCGCTGGATAGAAGCTGGGTGGAAGCCCTGGTCTGATGTGAGGCTCCCAGAACTTTGAAAAGGGGTATTCTGCTGGTGCCCTCTTCCAGACACTCATCGGACAGCATGATGAAAGCCACTACCTCCACGTGGTGAAGACTGGATACTGAACAGGGGGTCCAGGCTAAAGGCAGGACGGTCGACGGGAGACATTGAGCCCCGGAAGTTCAATAATTTGATCTATTGACTCCTTAACTCTTGGTCTACAAGAGGCTTTGAGACTCGTAAATCTTTACTGTGGATTGCACAGTAGCTAAAGAGGTGTTGGCTGTTACCCTGTTCAACCTAGTCTACTATGACCCAGCTAGACTGGACCACACTCTGGTAGTCAGGATACGGCTCCCTATGCCCGGGGTACCGGGTAACGAGGTAGTCAGGGGAAGGGTTAGTCCCCGCTAAAGTGTAGCTCTGTTCTCACTCTAACCTCCTTATGCTTTGGGATAAAATCGGAAAGTCCCACACTGGAGCAGGCGACGATTGGGTAAGGATTACAACTGATGCTGTTTGGTAGAAAAAGGAAGTGTCACATTTGTCTTGTATAGCATATGTTCGTGCAATTACATGCTCAAGATACCCAAGATATTATGGTGAGAGTTAAAGATGGCTTTTGTTCAAGCGGATTGCCTTAACCTTTTACTCTTTTAGTGGCGCAAGAGTTAAGAACACAATCCACTGCCAATGTGCAGGGGACTGCACAGGATTGTGAGCCAACTGAAAAGTCAAGATGAATCTTATCAACAGCTTAAGGGTTAAAGCCCCTTTTTTTTCTAGTGGAAGTGGTTGCCGGGGTAATTACGCTGCTATTACAGAAGCTGATAACTCGGTCTCCACAACACGACAACCTATTTCTACAGAAAGTCAAACAAGAAAACATCAAAAAAATATGAACATCAATTGTATTGTATCATGTAAAAGGACTGCTAAGGTTAGCACATTTAACATAAGAACAGCCAGAGAACAGCACAAACGCATCGAACTTGCAGAACTATTTTCTCGAATCAAACTGCACATCCTTGGCCTGCAAGAACATCATGTAGAGCATTCTGAGCCTACCAGGATAGAAAAGATGAACAAAGGGATTCATCTAGTGACCTCATCTGCGTGGAAAAACGCAGCTGGCGCTTCTAATGGGAGAGTAGGAATCATCTTGACGAGGACAGCATATGAGGCTATTTAAGTCTTATAAAATCTTACAGCGCAAGGATCCTCACCATGTCTTTCAATGGAAAGCGCAGGCTCACTGTCATCACATGCTACAGTCCTACAGAAGCCTCATCTGATGAGGAGGCAGAAAATCTCTTTTGTCTAAAACCAAGCATCTTACTGTTAATTTAGTAGAAGAGGAGCCACACACAATAACTTCTAAGGACGGACATGCCTTAGAGGAAGTTGAGGATTTTTTCTACCCAGGAGCCTGGATAAGTACAACAGAGCACGACTTAAGGGTACCCAAGGCCAAGGCATGGGCTGCCTACCACAAAATGACGGCTATATGGAGGTCCAATTTGCGCCGAGATTTAAAGATCCGTCTGTTTCAAGGCTACAGTTGAATCAATCTTCCTGTATGGAACGGAAACGTGGACAATGACAGAATCTTTGAAAATAATAGACGGATGTTACAGTAAAATGCTTTGGATGGCCCTAAACGTGGACTGGAGAGAACATCGCACCAACAAAGAGGTCTTTAAATCACTCCCAAGAGTTAGTTCGAAGATACAGGCCAGAAGAATGAGGTCGGCTGGGCACATCCAGAGATCCAGCGATATGATGACCTGGCAGTACACCAACTTCTCCTTCGGGAACCTAGCCATGGGACCAGAGGGAGGGGCAGACCACCGCTCACTTTCGTCGATAACCTAATAAGTGACACCGTACTCAAGAACACTGGGGAGATTAAGGAGCTATGGCGGACAGAAAGCTTTGGAGACACATCATTGAGACTCGGACTCTGAAGCCGCCTTAAGTCAAGTAATTTAAGTCATGTGCTTTGACTTGCCCTTGACCTTCGTCATAGCCACAGGAGAACACATTTGCCACATTTGGCACATTTCCACTTTGTGCATTCATATGGATTATATCTCGATGATCGAGACATCCTGTTTGCTATCGTGATAACATACTATCAATATAAACACACTCATATACTATGTAAACTATCTATTAAGTTAAGACATGAGAACAACACGTAGGTAAGACTCAGTGGGAAATAATTCACATTCAATACAATTAATGAAATGGCTAGAATTTTGTTTAAATTTTGTTTAAAAAACCCAAAAAAACCCAAAAAAACCCAATCCCAGTATTACCTTTTCTTGGGTAGGAGTTGGGTTTTTTTGGGTTACACCCCCCCCAGAAAATTAGGGGAAGTAAAAAGACTCATCAGGAACAGTACCTCCACAGTTATGTCTTCGATCGCAAGATTTTTTCAGACAAGGAGTGTAGACATACAGAGTGCTGACTCCGGGCTAGATGTCATGCAAATGGAACCATTACGAGTACAAGAGGATCGCGAACTTCAAAATCAAGTATTAGCTGAGACAGATAATGTGAACTAAAGAAACCATTGATGAACAAAATGACAACATTCTTTAAAAACTAACATCACTTAATTCAACACAGAAGTCCAGTTTTAAACATTCATTATATATGATTTACTTTGTAATATTCCTTAATTGAGGAATGAGGTGAGTGTTGGAAAGGCTTATCATTGCTACTATTATACTGAGAAATTCTACATTTATTTAACTTTTCATTACAACCTATATTATTATGCTATGAATTATGATCGTGTCTAGAATTGGTACTTATTTTAAGCTCAAAAATGTTGATCTAAAAGTCTGCCTACAAATTTCATGGAGTCTAGGATATAGGATTTAGTCATGACGAAGGAATTTCAATCTGTGCGTATGTTCACCTTCAAATCAATATAAATTATGGGTTCCCAGTTGGCAGTTTCTTGGGGAATGGACAATGAGGTGGATTGTATGGAAGGAATGGATGAACAGGTTGAAGATAGGGTATGCAACGAGATAATATTCCTCCGGCGATTTTACCAACTTAGTGAACTTAGCAAGGGCTGGGATGGAGGAGTTTTTTACTATGAGACATATTGAACGGAGGAGTTTTAGAAAGCGTAAATAGGCCAGCACTTTGCTGAGCCTCTTTAGGTGCTCTTTCGTGTTTATATAAACATTAAATATAGCAATGTAAGATTTGATCCTTGATAAATATGCTGTTTCTCATGAACAATAGTAATGCTAGTGTTATAATTACTGCATACCAATATAATTATAACCTACAAGCCTTACCTAGTCCACATATCGACCGATATCGACCGATGATATTTCCATAATTCTAAACAATGTATCCATTATCTCGATAAGTTGCAATTGCGAACCCTAGAAAAGAGGATAATATGTGCAGGGGCGGCGACAAATACGTGCCACGTGGTGAAATAGTTCAGTTTTAAATTACAGTGAATCAGCAGCAAGATACGCTATGAGAAGAAAAACATCTTCATATTCATGGTCCATTATATTGATAGAAACATTCCATTTCAAATAACGACTAACAAGTCTAAGAGTGTACCTGGAATGTTTTGTTGAAGTTGTAAGCATCACAGAGAGTGACAATACCGTCCAGGTACAGTTTAGAAAGTCCCTCATCTACCCAGAACGTCTGTCCTATGTTCCCTGGGTCAGCTAAACCTGTGCAAGTTAAACACTTTAACTGAAGACTCTTTAGGTGAGTTGATCTCTTAGCTATTAATAATAGTGTTTTCATATCGTAGCTTCAACTAGATACGGGGTCTTGGTAACACGAAATATAGTTTAAAACAGTAGAACTAAAAGAGAATATTTACCAGTTGTTTCGATGAGAACATAGTCGAACTTTCCACTTTTCTCCATGAGTTTCTCTATAGCCATAACAGCGTTACTCTTCACAGCACAACACAAACAACCATTAGTCATTTCCAGCCACTCTTCGTACCTGACATTGTCATCAGATTAAAACAAAGCCAGAGATGATAGTGTTAATTAGAGAACAGAATACTTTAATCATTTAAAAGCATAATAATGTTCGTTAAAATTATCAGTTACAGTATAATCACCTCTTACTTCTCATTTCCCACTCCCAGAGCTCCCGGTTGCTCCACAGCTGCTCCTTCCCCGTACTCATTAACTATCACTGCTATACGCTTACCATGCTGCTCCTTTAGAATATACGTCAAGAGCGACGTTTTACCTGCTCCCAAATAACCTGAAACAGACAAGATAAGCTTTTCTAAAAGATGAACTAGATCGAAATATCGATACTTGTAACTTGCATGAGTTAGTACATTTATAGTGAGTTACGCAGAAAATGAACTGCGGAGAATTTTAAAATAGTTTGATAAACCCTTACAACTGACCAGTAAAATGCCTTGTTAACCAGTACTGACCGGTAAAACACCTTGTTAACCAGTACTGACCAGTAAAACACCTTGTTGACCAGTACTGACCAGTAAAACACCTTGTTAACCAGTACTGACCAGTAAAACACCTTGTTAACCAGTACTGACCGGTAAAACGCCTTGTTAACCAGTACTGACCAGTAAAACACCTTGTTAACCAGTACTGACCAGTAAAACACCTTGTTAACCAGTACTGACCAGTAAAACGCCTTGTTAACCAGTACTGACCGGTAAAACGCCTTGTTAACCAGTACAGTACTGACCAGTAAAACACCTTGTCAACCAGTACTGACCAGTAAAACACCTTGTTAACCAGTACAGTACTGACCAGTAAAACACCTTGTTAACCAGTACAGTACTGACCAGTAAAACGCCTTGTTAACCAGTACTGACCAGTAAAACACCTTGTTAACCAGTACTGACCAGTAAAACACCTTGTTAACCAGTACTGACCAGTAAAACACCTTGTTAACCAGTACTGACCAGTAATGATAGTAACGGGAATGTTGGGAGTATCATCTTCAGCTACAGACCCGGAAACCAGTGTGGGAACCTCGGCTGGTATCAGGCAGGGAGCCTCGTCATCTGAATCATCAACTAACATCCTGCAGCTGCCAGGGAGTGTTAGCTGTTCATTTGTGGTACAATGATCGCGATCGTGATATTAGAAAATATAGATATTATATTCTAAAGAAATCAGACAAAGATTTGTGAAGCGGCGCGTATTTAAGTTTATACAAGTTAGCTGTACTCTCAACTAGGAATGAAACACAGAAACCCATTGATCAATAAATAAAACAATTCCAAATATTGACAATCCTGAATCTACCGTCACAAGCTTGAGTGAACCAAAACTGGACGTCAAAAATAAGAAACTCTACCGCACAATAAATTCAAGATTATTCTCCTTTAAAAACAGCTTTAATGTGATCTCTATAGAATCTGGTTAATTCTGGCGCTGATAGCCAACTGCTGTCTCGTTAAGTATGTCAAGTATTCCACAGCGAGAAGATCCTGGAGATGAAGACGTTAATTCGACTCAAACTCTTGGTTAATTCTCAATTTATCACAAACTGTCATGCTGTCATCAGATGACGTTAAAAACCCAGTTTACTAATTATTTGCGTGATGTAATATTTAAACGATAAATATCAATATTGTATAATATACCTGCATATGAGAGTTGAGCATGTTAGTGATAGTATCTCCATCAAGGTTAGGTATAGATTGTACAACCTCCATCAGCTGTCTTCCTAACTCCTTATCACTGGGTACCTCTCCAGCTATCACCTGTACAACACAGTTTGTTAAAAGTCACATGTTTTTAGTAATCATGGTCTCATAATGAGATATAATCTGTCAAGTTTTACTTGCTTCTAAACAAATAACTGATCTAAATATCACAATTTAACCTTATTTTGCACACCTTTTTGACGTGGCCCATGACAATGTTAATCTGTGATATCATGTCGTCACAAGAATTTATTATCTGTTCTTGATCGTTGAAATTTGGAGTCTTTCTGGTTCCTCGTAGTCCTTGGAAAAACTTCAAACTGACCTGCAAAAATTTGCTAGTCACTGATAGACTAAATATATTTATTGAGTGAGAATTCTTCATACCAGTGATAGATTGAAATTTTAACCTGAAAATGTACATTGAAAAGTTAACCTAATTTTACCTGATCAGCCTCGGCTCCAGTAATGACATGAGGAACAGGAGTGAAAATACAACCCTCAGTTCCGTTCTTAGCTCCTAATTGAGACGTAATGTGAGTGTTGATCTTCATCTTCTGCTCTTTGAGCTGCGTGTCTACAGTAAGATGGACTGGGGTGGGACATTGACACTTGTAGAAGGCGTGGATCAGGGAACTGTACTCGTTGATTATTATTCCACTGCTGTACCACCCTACTGTGTACATCGTCGTGTTTACCTGGTGATAGAGGGTGATAGAGGGTGATAGAGGGTCGGGTAATGAGGCATCGTTCCCGGTATTGTATCAGAGCAAATGAATGATAGATTTCAAGTGGCTTAGTTCAACTTATCCGTTATATAGAAAGTTCTGAGATCTGAGAAAGTCGAACCTTTTTCTGGAGTTCTCCGATTCTCATAGCGTACTCCATGTCCATGGACACCTCTTCTTCAGTCTCCTGATGGGGAACAGCAAACGACTCAGTCACGTGCACGGTTCCTTTGTCGTACCTGATAAGTTTTAATTTTAAAAACTGTCATTTTAAAGGTCATTTTAAAGATCATTTTATGCTCGATTAACTTCCAAGTAACATTCAATATTACCAAAATTTTGCCACATTTGAAGAAAACTTCATCATATCAACATGATCAAAACGTCAGTTGCAAAATTCGGAAAACTACAAACCTTCCCATGAGTGTACCGATGACACGCTTATTGTTGTCATTCCTTCTCTCGTAGTTATCTACAATGTTAAACAAAACCACGGGGTGGATTATAACTTTTCGCACTGGAAGTGCTACGGTTCTTCCTTCTACTGCCATCCTAACCTTTTTAAATGTTTCGTTTTTCAGTTTAGATTGAACACTACATGACGATTTGATTTTCAAATTTTTACAATTTATTTAACAATATTGAACAGAGATCAATCTTAGTATGGCTTGGTAACGAAAATGAGTAGGTTGTAATATAATTATTATTAAATTTTAAAGTTAGCCCTGCCATGCTAATCAAGATTAGAGATGGAATCATGGAATGCCATTGTCGTTAAAAACAAATAGATTAATTCAAATTCAGATAAATTCAGAAATGTTGAGTCCTAAACCCCAGCCTAGAGTCCAGCTCTGGCACAGCAAGAAAAGTGACACACATTCTGCTCTCCCATTTGTGGTGAGTTTCCTATATTTCCTAAACATCAGATGACAGATAAGGTTGAACTGAAGATCTGGTCACTTGGTCACGTGATTTGGTCACGTTGGTCAGTGTTCGTCATCAGATTCCTCTACACACATGTTGTCCAGATCGTTATCATGCGGGTGATACAGCTCTGAGAGGAGAGAGATAATAAATTCAGTTATTTTATAATATACAAATCACAAATGATGAGTTTAGTGAGTCTGTAATGTTTTTCAACTGAAGATTAACTATTAAAGTATTTATTATGGAGATACAAGATATTATCACACTTTCAAGCCAAATTTGGCAGGAAAGCAGAATTGATATTGCATGCCCCAAAGGGGAGCACTGGCTCTCACCCGGGGGCATGAAATATCAATTAGTTGCTCAGAGAGTGCTCCATAGAAACGAGGAGCCCGCTCTCAGCAACTGATCTACTACTGTAAGGTACTGATTTAAATACTGATTTAAATCAATAACCTGAAGTAGTCTACGACCTTAAATGCAATGGTCGGACAGAGTTTGCAATATGTTGCAAAATGTATACTTATACTAAAACTTAAAACATTTCCTTGCGTTTCAGATGCGTCAAGCGAAATAAAAACTTTCCTTGTTAAACTTCCTCCCAATGTTGACTTTCTATCGTACTTCTTAGCCTAATAAGGCAGGGAACAGAATTTTTATCACACTTTCGAGCCAAATTTGGCAGGAAAGCAGAATTGATATTGCATGCCCCGATGGGGAGCACTGGCTCTCACCCGGGGGCATGAAATATCAATCAGTTGAGAGAGAGTCTGATATTCCCATAGGAACAAGGAGCCCACTCTCAACAACTGTTCTACTACTGTGAGGTACTGATTTAAATAAAGATTTAAAAGGGGTCATTCATAATAACTAAGTATTTCTTAAGTAAATACTCGCTAGTAATTACTTAGATTTTTCTGAGTCTCAAAATCGGTATTCACAAAGTTTGAGCATTTACTGCCCAGTAAAAACTAATACTCAAGCTGAATTCATCGTGAGTATGACTTACATTCAAGTAAATACTCACTAAAATGCTCTCAAACTAGCACTCCAATACTCAAATCAGTATTTTAAGAAGCACGACAGGTTAATTCAGATCTTTTGTTTGCCATCTTATGTTAATGGGAAAACACCCAAATTCGGATGTACATCGATGTATCGAAGGAATGTGAAATAAACATTTTCGAGCGAAATTTGTGTAGAGTACATTCGACATTCGCACATCACGTACCGCATATGTCTGTGATGGAATTTGTGATATCGCAATCTTGAAATGGCGGCAAAATGACAACACCCTTGACTCCGAAGATAATTCAGAATCATTCTTGATATCTATAATGAATGTTTTGTGTGCGATATTGTGTCCCCTACAGGTAATTTCACGTCCCTTTTACAGTGGTTTACCGTGATTTACTGTAGTTTTCTTTTATCTTTTTTAGCAGTGTACGTTTGTTTTCACTGTTCAACCTATTACAATCATCTCGGTACGCAATTTTTATCGCTAGTCCTAGCCAAAGCTTTCAGAGAGGTTTTTTATAACTATTTTTTGAATTGATGACTGATCTGCGTTACTTGGCTCCTGAATGTCGTGGGGACACCATTTTTAGCTTTAACTAACCGTAATGGTCGCATCTATATTGGACTTACAAGGAAGCTTATACTCTAACGTGTTTATTTTTCTGGGAAAATTTACAAAAACGTCATCCAATCGGGACAAAATATATTAGAGCTTTTGTACTGGCAGTGAGGAGTCGTCCCTGAAAAGGCGGGGTGCAGCACATAACCCCGCCAATTTCCGTCTAACCCCGCACTTGCGGAATTAGGCGGGATTAGGTGTTGCACCCCGCCTCTGAAAATTTGAAGTGAAAATATCAATTAGAAGGGAAGTTATTGACGTTAAAAGTCGTTGAGCAATAGGTGAGAAAATGATTTGAGAATGTGAATTCGGTTCTCACATTTTGAGCATGACTTTTGATCATTTGCTAACTTTATGAATACCAATCTTGAGTTAGTTTTGGGTGACGAGTAAATACTAACTTTATGAATACCGATTTGAGTGTTAGTTCCAACTCTGAGCATTTACTAGCGACAAAATACTCAGCCTAGTAAATACTTAACTTTACGAATACCAAAAGCGAATTTGATCTCAAAATCTAAGATTATCTCACAATTTGAGTCTGAGTTTTCGTTTATGAATGACCCCTTTAAATCAACAACCAGAAGTAGTCTATGACCGTAAATGCAATGATCAGATAAACTTTCCAGATTGAGGAAAAATATATATTTATACCTTGTTTTAAAAACATTTCCTTGCGTTTGAGATGTGTTAAGCAAAATACAATTTTTTGTTGTAAAACTTTTTCAAGCTGTTGCTTTTTTACTGCACTTCATAGTTCAAAACCTAATTAGGCTTCGGATGATGAAACAAAGTAAAAACTCCCTGGTTTGTACGAGTTTCAAGCGACTTAAGGTTACTGAAAACGAGATCAAAGTTTACAAGCAGACTTGAAAGTTGCACAAAGTTTTGGTACTTGTCAGCGATACAATCAATCAGGCTCATTAATTTCCTTAATCGCTTACTTGAAATTAAAAAGGAAGTGTCAGAACAAACTACAGTCACCCTCACAAAAAGTAGTAAACACAGAAACGATATTTGATCTATTCGAAGGAAGAAAACACACAAAACAAGAATCTTCTGTGAGCCATATTCCATATAGAAATTGTGCAGAAATTATACTAGGCTTTTCCAAACCGGCTTCCCCTAGAATGGCTTGCGAAATTCGTGGCTGATATATAAAGAGACTTATAAATTCTGAACAATAAAGAGTGAAAATTCTATCCCTGCACCAGTTTTAACTGAAGTTTAGTTAGTGCAACAAAAACATTCTATAAAATATATTATGTATATAAAGATATCAAGGGACGAATGGCGTAACTTAATCAGCTAATTCAGTTATAAATTGGTCTGGTCGCTGGGGCAAATTTAGGTCCGATGATTGATATGCTGCCATTCTTTAGACCAATTCAATATTGCTAACAGTACGGGAGAACTGCCTGGCAATGACCAGGGTGGTTATAAAAGGCTGGTGAAGTGCGTTCTAAAATGGTATTACCAGGCCGATTATCGGGCTATTAAGTCAAGAGTTACTTTCATAAACAATACTAAAGAGTACGGATGTCTGCTCTTGATATTAAAACAATCAAGAGTTGTATTGAAGAGATACATTATATTACGGCTGTTCTGATAATTTCTAGTGAAGCATATAATGGCAAGATGAATATAAGCAGACTGTACTCGATAAAATTCAATATTTTAATACTCGATAAAATTCAATAAAAGTCAATGATTACAAGTTCCAGTGATAAATCATTCTGAAATAACAGACAATCAAGACGGACGATAATATTGTTGATATATGTATTAGGGCGTGTAGTACGAGTACAACATGAACAGTTGAAAATTTGGACTTATAAATAGACAATCATGGCGCCACAGCCCAATTCAAATATAACAACCAGGAAATACTATCACCTTATCGCAGATTAGTATTACATGATAAGGACTAGGATGTAATCAACACTAAAACAGATGTTCTATACATTATACATCTTCAGTTTTAATGACTCAAAATATATCTAATAGAAATAAAGTATACGAATCACCTCACATCAATTGATTTGCAGGATGTAATTACGTATCAAACGCGCTCGCGGCGGAATATTCTAGACTCATAAGTACAAGACCCATAGGCGGAAAACACATTAATATCGCATGCACTAGGTATCAGTACAAAGCAAATTCAGCGCGGCACACAGCATTCACTGTGTCATAAATGTGAAACGCGAGATTCTAATTTCACGTATTGTATCTTTAATATCTGAAATACTAACTTATCGAGAGCTATATATAGCTTGGACATTATAAACATAAATAAGTTCGACATGTCTAGTTTGCTTTGGTGAGATTTATAACTAAAGTTTGATCAAATTCTGCTTTCCCGGCCAAATTTGGCTCCAAATAATGGCAAATTATGGCAAGGAAGATGAATACTGACTAAGAACTATAAAGCACACTATACTCGATAAAATTCTAACTTGTCAACGATTACAAGTTGCATTGATTAAATCATTTTGAAATAACAGACAGTCAAGAATCATAACGGACGATAACATTTTTGATGTGAATTAGGGCCTGTGGTGTATAATGTGGACTGATAGATTATAGATACTAATTATAGCTCCACAACTCTATTTAAATACAAGAACTAGGAAATACTTTCACCTTATCGCAGATAAACATTTATGATAAGGACTCTGATGTATTTAATCAACACTTGAACGGATGTTCTATACATAGTATATTTTCGGTAGTAATGATCAAGTATAAAATTACCTCACACCAATTAATATGCAGGATATAATTTGTAATTAATAAGACGCGGTGATCGCGGCGGAATATTCTAGACGCCAATAAGTACAAGTCCCTTGATCGATAAATATAATAATATTCAATGCACTACGTATCACTTATGAGTACAAAGCAAATTGGGCGCGGCATACAGCATTCACTGTGTCATAAATGTGATGAGCACGTGAGATCTTAATTGTATGTATTGTATCTTCGATATCTGAAATACTAACTCATCGAGAGCTATATATAGCTTGAACATTATAAACATAAATAAGTTCGACATGTCTAGTTTGCTTTGGTGAGATTTATAACTAACGTTTGATCAAATTCTGCTTTCCCGGCCAAATTTGGCTCCAAAGAAAGTGTGATAAAACATTAATCACATGCCTTCTCATGCGATATCAACATTTTCAAAACTCGGCAAGCCTCGTGATTGAAAATGTCGATATAACCCTCGGGAAGCCTCGGGAAATATCGAAACTTTCGCTAACTCGGCAAGCCTCGTGGGCGAAAGTTTTGATATCGCATGAGAAGGCATGTGATAAATGTATAATATATCAGTTGACAGATACAGTAGGTGAAATTACCTGATACGATTCTGTAAAGATACGAGGGAGCATGTCCTCCAGTGTTAGTTATAAACAGTTCTATCATATCACTTGGGACGTAGTCAAACTCAGGATTCGATACCAACACCTGAAATTATAATAACTTATTAAACTTAAAATTTCATTGACCATTTCGCAAGATAAAAGCCAAAAGGTAATATCATGAAATTTTCTTAATCAATCGAATAAATTAGTAAATTACAAATTTTTGGGTTAAAGAGTTTTTTTGAGATCTTTTACCATTTAAATGTTCAAAATCATAAATTATAAAAAATCGTGAATTGGCGAGTGAGGTCAGTCCCTTTTGACAATTATCAAAAATGAAACACGACAGTGTAACACGAAATAAAGTTTTATTGATAACAATCATCTATAATTTTAATAGTTTGTGGATCATTTTATGAATGAAATTATTCTTCGGAGAGCTAAAAAAGAATTGAAATACTATATGCAAATCATGAAATTACAATTAGTTCAAAGAAACTTAAATTATATATACATTAATATATACATTATACATACGTTTATAAACGTATGTATAATGTATATATTAATGCTCGATGTTCGAAAGTTCATTTATAATATCCCCATCATCAAAATAAATTTTGGATAAAAGTTATGTTAAAAATATCATCACATACACATAAAATAAACAATATCACGTTATAAAGTTATAAAAGTTACAACTATAATCTAAATATGCAAAAAACAAGACATCACTTCTGAGAGAGACATTCCTTTACAACCCCCTCTACACCTTCATAACAAACATCAGGATCTGCTGCATCAAAGAAATTAGGTTCCAACTTTTCATTTCCCTTTACTTCTTCCAATATTAGAAAATATGCGGGCCACACAACATTCTCAAAATATCCCGGACCATCTGGTGGATCGTAACAACGAGTTAGCCGCCTTTTGAGTGCAAGATCATGTGATAAGGTGATGAAGATAGTCGCGTCATACAGTTCTAATAGAGGAGCAAAATTAAGGGCGAGATGCCCTTCAACAACTATCACGTTGTGATCTTTCTTCATTTCTTCTTTAACATCAGCTACAAGATCGTCCATTTTCAGTGCGGGACATGTTTCCCAATTCACCTCAGAATCAAGGAACACAAGTTTTGCCTCCTCTAGTGTTTTGAAGTATTTGTCTTGGTTGAAGACGAAACATTTGGGGATATTTTCCACTAGTTTCTTACAAATTGTAGTTTTCCCAGAGTTAGTGCCACCTCCTAATCCAACCACGATAACCATCCTATAGTTAGGATAATCATGAGATATTTGTACAAAGAGAACTGCTAAATTCTTTACGCTAAAAAACAACATTTTGTGAAAAAAAAAAGTTAACTTACTTTTGAATGAAGCTTGGTATTACTGAAATTCAGCATGTTCTCAGGACCTATGATCTTGTTGAAAGCATCCTGATCATATGAGCAGAGATGAGTAGGAGAGAGTTTGTAAAGTGCAGCACAAACTATGACTGGCACAGAGAAGTGTTCTGCAGCAAGTGTTAGCTGGTGTGCTCCGTTCGGTGCTCTCAGTGCTCCGTCAGCCATTATAGTGTGGGTACCAATTATCACCTGGTGGTGGTAAGAAAGTGGTAAGTTAAACAAACAACTTACTTTTCATGATACAATGTGGTAACTTTATCAGTATGGCAAGGTGACTTAATCGATGTGATGTAGTTATTATAGATAAAACAAACTCACCTTATTAACAGCATGAATGATAGCGAATGCAGCACTGTCAGCAATAAGAGTTGTCTCAATACCACCATCGCTCAACTCCTTTGCCATTTGGTGTCCTTTTAGCGAGGGCCCTGATTCACATACCACAACCCTGAAGTTCCTCTTCTTCCGTCCATGAAGGAGGAACTCCCTTACTGTGTTTGAGTGCCCATAAGTTAAGATGAGCTGAGGAAAAAAGTTACAAATCAGTCATAATTACTGAGATTATTTATTTAATCGAGAGTGCCACCACACCATACCAATAATAAGAAAATATTTTAAACTGTAGCCTAGGAAGGTTTAATGAAATATAGTGACATTTCTCAATTAAAAAAGAATAGAGTAATACCTCATTAGCGTGGATATGCTCAAGAGCCATGGTGATGATGTTAGATTTGCTGTTTTCTTGCTCAGCAAGCAACTCTACAATACTGTTCAGGATATTGTCTTGCAGGTCTTTTCTGAAGAGAATACATGATTTAGATCATTCAATGAAAACTGTTTGAGTAGTAAATAGAACTACAATATTTGACTGAGCTGTGATTGGTTCATGGAAAACAGTTGATAAAAGCATGCTTGCAAAAACGAGCAGCAAACTTACCTTCCAATGGTTGATGATTGGGAATCTGATCTGAAAAATATGGCTAGTCCCTCGGCAAAGCTTGCTGCATCTGGCCCTTCATTCTCTTCCCTTATTATCTTCAGAACTCTTCTGATAACATTACTTACGACAGTTTCATTACTCAGTATAAGTGGCAGATACTTTGAGTATGTTTTAATTATCTTGATAAGCTCGCCAGCTGTTACCCAGTCACTTGCACATATCAACTCCTGAAATTTAAAAAATTAAGCCCATCTTTTCCATTACAAAATAGAATACAAAGTTAATTGAAGACAGCATAGGTAAGTTCTAGTACCAGTGTAGTATGATTAAAACTTACCTTTAATATATTTATTGTCTTGATTACACTTGCATATGATGTTCTAGTTTTTCGATGATCTTTGAGGTAAGCTGAGAACTCTTCCAGCTGCACAAGCGTTTCTTTTGGCACCTTGTTTATCAAATAACTATCCATAACGGCTGAGGTGCAATAGTTGGGTGTGATGAAAAATAAGTTATATATCTAGGAGTTATCACCAAAACTGACAATATCTAACAACTATGAATGAATGTATGTATCTCACATGTGGCAACAGATGTGTGTTTTACTAATGTGAGCCTCTCGGGATTATTTTGTGGATGGCATATAATGCATACTTTAACAGAAAATTTCCCAATAGCAGAATACTACAATCAACACTGCAACTGGGTGCTTGCAAAATTGAAAATGGTTAATTTATTCAAATCATTGACGCAATCGGCAGAGCATAGTACACAAGTAACAGAAATCGTGTAATGACAGGAAGAATGTCAACAGTCATAGGATTCACAGGATGGAATAAGATTGAAGGGGATGAACCCAACATGAGATTTCTTTACGGATTTTCCCCCTCGGACCACTACAAGGACACTCCCAAGTAGAGAGAAGCGAAGTTTTGTTCATGTGAAACCCATCACTTGAGCGTGTCACTGCCCTTTTAGTCTGATATTTTGACTGAAGCCCGCTCTGTGACCTATGAAGCTTCATTTTTTAAAAATTACAAATAGCCAGCACCCAGACACCTCCTTTTGGGAAACGGATAACATGCCGAAATTGACCAATGCAATGATGTGGTCAAAAACGTTGAATTTTGTTTTGGGCTTGATTACATTTGTCAGAAAATGGCAACCCATTCCCTAAAAATTAACCCTGCCAACATATACAAAATAGGAATAACGATTTTATAAAAAGTTGAGTTAGTAGGTAAAAATAATTTTTTATAAAATTATTCAAACAATATAGCAATGACCCTATATAAAATCTACCCTTTAAGAATTAAAAAAGTTTCCTAAACAATCAAAAATTACCCTTGGCCTTGTGGCTCCAAGGAATGATGATTAATCACTCTTTACCTGAGGACCCCAGGCTTTAATGTTGGTAAACAAACGAATAGAGATTAGGCGGAATGACAGGCTGAGTCACGTGACTTTTTTAATTCGTTCTCTAGCTGGCTCTGAACGACTTTTCGAAACCCTAACCCTATAATCTGATCCCAACCCTAACCCTAACCCAATCTTTAACAAAAACATATGCTAAAACCCTAACCCTAACGAGAAATTAGACTAACTTCCTTATACGGTCATATCACGTGATCGATACAGTTTTTCGCCAATATCTCGTCATAGTGTACAGTCAAATCCGTCCTTATTTGAGCCTTTGTCGGACAAAATTCGCAACAAAGCGATTTTAACGGGATATGGTCGGGACAGGTCCCAGGAATCATTCCAGAAAAGTCCCAAAAATCTGACTTGAGCAAAATCCACAATTACCACTTTTTTACCACCTTTTTACCACTTTGGTTTTCCGCAAATAAGTCACGTTCTGAATATCTTAGAAGATTCTAGTTTAAAGCAGTGTGTTTAGGAAACAAAGGAGAACAACGTTTTCTTTAACAACTTTTTCAAAAATAAATTATTTAATTAATTAATTAAATAATTAAGAAATTTTCAAATATTTAAAAAATATATTTTCATAAAAAATGTTCACAATTAAATTCCACGTATATTGAACTAATTCTTATAAAAAATTTTACTTTCAATATTTTGGACTTGTAAAATTTGTAAAGAATAACTAAACCACTATTTACCACTTTTTACCACATTGGATCTCCGCTAATAAAACGACTTCTGAATGTCGTAGAAGGTTCTAGATTGAACCGATGTGTTCAAAATATAAAAGAGAACAACTTTTATTCGCCAATCTTTGGATTAGATAATTAATCGATTAATTAATTAGATGATAAGTTAATTTTTAAAAATTTCAAAAATATAATTTTTACCAAAAATCTTTGCCGTGACATAAAACGTAAAATGAATTTACTTGAATAATAGAACAAACACCGTCACATAGATTAGATAACAGATAAAAAGAGATGCAGATAAATGGAATAAACGGTAAAATATCCAAATTTGTACGATACTATTATATTATAGATAATAACTATTTACACATCATCTCTCGACTTAGTGTTGTGCTTTAAAACTAGATTGTTAAACTGGTTCGTTTGGAAGCGTAAGCTTCAATATTTAATTTAAGGAATGAATCCTGGCATCACCAACCAGCGATGGAAAGTGAAAGCCCTCCAAGAGTCTATCAGCTCCAACCCGATCCACACTCCTTTCTTCACCTTGACGGAAACCCACCTCAAGTCGTATCACTTAGATGCGGAGGTTCACATCCCAGGTTATACCGGCTACCGAGCGGAGCGTACCAGTCGAGCTTGTGGCGGAGCCGCTACCTATCTCCACAACTCCATCACAGCAGAAGAAACAAAGTCCTTCTCAAACTCCTACTGTGAACTTGTCGCCATCTACAGTAAAGAAGCTAACAGTAACATCGTGATAGCGGGCATTTACCGGCCCCCTTCAGCTCCTTTTGACAAGTTTGATGAATGCCTCTCTACCCTCCAACAATTCATCAACGGAATTCAACGCACCCCTGTACTGCACATTACAGGAGACTTCAACCTACCCTTTATCAACTGGACGAATTCTTCTATCGACTCAGGATGCAGTATTTCCCTTTCAGACCGACAATCAGCCCTAGCACTTCTGAACTTCAATAAAGAATGCCTGCTCCAACAAGAAGTCCTCGAGCCAACTCGCAAGAACAACATCTTAGATCTCGTTTTCTCAAACGACTCTGACTCGATCCATAGTATCTCTGTTACCAAGACAGAGTTATCAGATCATGACATTGTGAGCTGCACTCTCCTCAATCCTGAACTCCTCCTCCCCTCGCAGACTCCGGAACGGCCAGTCTTCACCCCCTCCTGCCTCCTTGATGACATTAACTTCAACTCAGCAGACTGGGATGCTATTAATGCAGAACTGGTAGAAGTAGACTGGGCTTCTATCACTGACCCAAGCAACGATCAGGATACAGCTTGGACATTGTTTGAAGACAAGGTAGCGTTCATATGCTCTAAGCACGCTCCCTCGCACAGCAGAAACATCCAAGTGTCATCACAATCCTCCATTCCCAAGCCCAGAAGAGAACTTATTCGTAAGATGTAGCGACCATGATGCTCCTGTACAAGTCATACGTACGATCTCATCTGGAATACTGCTGTCCTCTGTGGTCTCCTCACATGCAGTGCGAAATTATTAAACTCAAAGCAGTTCAACGATCCTTCACTGCTAAAATCCAGGGTCTTGGAAATCTCAACTACTGGGAACGCCTCCGTCGCCTGTCTATGTACTCCCTTCAAAGGCGTCGTGAGAGATACACTATCATCCTAGTTTGGAAGATCTATAACAATCTTACTCCAAACAGTATGAACATCACGATACGGAACTACGTGTATACGACCACTAGGGTCCTCCAAGTACACTAGTGTCAATAACCTGAGGTTCAACTCCTTTGCCTCTAGAGCCTCTGCAGTCTGCACTGTACAACGTGGTCCCTCCTAGCATCAAGTCCCTCCTAACCTTGACCGCTTTCAAACCTGCTCTTGATGCTTTCCTCAATGAATTCCCTGACACTCCACCATTCAACACCTGGGTACACTGGACAGAACAAGAACTCAATGCTGGAGTGGGCCGGTGTCACGTGCCTCTGACGCGCTACTACTTGGCGGTGGATATGCAAGACATTCTTGGCCTGGTAGCACTCTAGCTCGGAACCCAACCCAAGTAAGTAAGTAATAATAAAGGGCCTTTAGTAGGAGTGCATACGCTAGGGTATTGTTTCTCCGTAGCTTAGTGCACTAGATTCCCACTATAGGGATCGTGCACAAAGCCCAATTACGGTATCGTAGCACCCTGTCGCATGATTAGCGATTAGGTAATCATTGATTACCCAATCAATTTCGCTAACGAGATAAACGAATTGCTTGATGACTTCGTCATTTTCAGTCTGTTTCGCGCCAATATCTTTTCAGAATTCAGATCATATTCCGAATGTAATGGCCTATTGCAATGTGCAGTTAACAGCATGTTCGCAAACACGATTATGTTGATTACAAGACTCAACGTATGTGTATTAACTCACTGCACCCCCACTCCCCCTAAACTTGGAGGATATTTTGATTTCTAAATGGTATTTAACGACCACGTTCATTCAAAACATCAGTTGCAACTGTTTAAAGTCAGGTTGTGGCAATGCTTGTTCATGCAGAAAAGCAGGAATACATTGTGGATCAATCGCGTCAAATGTCAGGACAATTGCACCAATGTGCCAGCTGAGGACTCATAAGTATCTAGTATATATTGGTTATATAAAGTGCTGCTTCGATTTCCCAATCAATTTAATGAAAAATTGTTAATTATTCGTGTTATGCAATTTTAAAATATTTTGATCGAAAATAATTTTTATAATTTTTGAATATTTGTTAAATAATTGATTAACTGATTAATTAATTATCTAATCCAAAGGTTGGCGAATAAAAGTTGTTCTCTCTTATGTTATTAACACATCGGTTCAATCTACAACCTTCTACGACATTCAGAAGCGGAGATCCAATGTGGTAAAAAGTGGTTATTCTTTACAAATTTCGAAAATTTTACAAGTCCAAAATATTGAAAGTGAAAATTTTCAAAAGTTTTATGAAAATTAGTTCATTGTACGTGTAATGTAATTGTGAACATTTTTTATGAAAATATATTTTTTAAATATTTGAAAATTTATTAATTATTTAATTAATTAATTAAATAATTTATTTTTGAAAAAGTTGTTTAAGAAAAAGTTGTTCTCCTTTGTTTCCTAAACACACTGCTTTAAACTAGAATCTTCTGGGATATTCAGAACGTGACTTATTTGCGGAAAACCAAAGTGGTAAAAAGGTGGTAAAAAAGTGGTAATTGTGGATTTTGCTCAAGTCAGATTTTTTGGGACTTTTCTGGAATGATTCCTGGGACCTGTCCCGACCATATCCCGTTAAAATCGCTTTGTTGCGAATTTTGTCCGACAAACATGTCATGGGGGGTGATTCGGAAT